AATATTGTTCATTAATTGCAATGCGCATCGTAAGGCAAGGTACGTCTTTAGCGATTACAAATCATGATGAAGACAACGACGAACACAAGAGCGTAAACTATCATAGACATCGGCGAAAACATGGTATTTTGTTTCCTGAATCTGTTAGATCTATTATTTGTGGTCCATCTGGAAGTGGTAAAACAAATATATTACTATCATTATTGTTTGATCCGAACGGACTAAAATTTACAAATATATATATTTACTGCAAGTCACTCTATCAACCAAAATATAAGTTACTACAACAAGTATTACAAAGAGTGAAAGGAATTGGATATTACCAATATGAAGATAATGAACAAATCATTAACCCCAAAGAAGCAAAATCGAATTCAGTTATGATATTTGACGATGTAAGTTGTGATAAGCAGGATAATATTAGAAGATATTTTTCTATGGGACGTCACAAAAACATCGATTGTTTTTATTTATGTCAGACTTACACGAGAATCCCGAAACATTTGATAAGAGATAATACAAATTTATTGGTGTTATTAAAACAAGACGAAAGAAATTTGAAACACATTTATGAAGATCACGTAGGTACCGATATGAATTTTGGTCAGTTTAAAAAAATATGCACAATTTGTTGGAGGGATAAATATGGATTTCTTGTTATCGATAAAGAATCTGAGCTAAACAAAGGTCGATATCGTAAAGGATTTGATCAGTACATTATCCAATAAACAGGTGTGATATGATAACAGGTACCTACTGTTTGGAGAAATAGGTCTGTTTTCCAAAACAGCATCAGTTCAGTTTAAAAAAAAAAAAAAAAACAGGTGGATATGTATGTACTTTATTAAGTACAACAGATATTTCTGTACTTCTGTAAAGCATTTAAGATATAATAAAGCATGAAGAATGAACTGCCGCAGTTTATATCGAACGTTCAATATGGATAGACAATGATCAAAGTGTTCGCACTAAACGTAGGATTATTAAAGTATCGGATGCTATTAGAAAAAAGTACAAGGCTTTAACGCTAGGCATAAAAGAGCAAGATGCTGCATTAAATAAATTATTTACACCAGTTCTTAATCCTCTTAACGAACTCTCTACAAAACTAGACGATAAATATAGCCAAAAGGAACCACAACAACGAAGAATTCTGCGAAGAAATAACGAACCACAACAGCAACCAACTGCACCTACGAGTAAAAGAGTAAAAACTTATGGTCGCGACGAAAATCGACGAGAAGTGGAATTTTCGTTTTTACCACCCAGACCTACAAAGCAGTCGATAGAAGCAAGCACTAACAGAAGAAAAAAAGATGATGCTGATGATGATGATGATGATGATGATGATGTCATGATGATGATGAATGATGATAAAGGGCAGGAGAGTCGACAGAACGACGACGAGGAAACTCATGACAATAATTTAGAGGAAAGAGACGACGAAGTGTTTGAATACAAACCAGAAGACGATGAGATGGAATTTGAATATGAAACCACACCAAAATTAAATCTCTCAGATATTAAACAACCCGAAGTCTTTGAAGATTTTCTCAATCAGTTTCCAAATGTAGCAAAACCATTTATTATTAAAGTATTAAATGAAGAAAACGATGAAGTTTACGGGCCTAGATTTGATCTGCAAACGAATAAGTTTCACTTAGGCAATTTGATATTACAAATAACAGAAAATGGAGATTTTCAATTAAATAATCAACTATTTCCAGCCACCGATGGGCTTTATACACTACTTTTTAGTAAAAACCCTGACAATGAGACTACTGTTATTAATGATAAAGATCGTAAACTCTATAAGCAAATGTTGGAAATTTCAAATGCCCATAAGAGAGATTACGATCCTATACAACAGATTAAAGGGTCAAGAGGTGAAAAATATCTTCAGTATATACAACCACTGTTTTCAAAAAAAGCAGAGAAAAAAAAGTCAAAATCAAGTCCACAGATTACTGAATACTTTGTAGAAAAGAAAAGATCTAAAACAATTAATACTAATAACGAATCATCTCCCAGTTTTTCACCAACTTTATCTTCGAGTAGAAATACGTCTTCACCAACGTCATCGATTAAACCTACCAGAACCACACTAATGCGTCAACAACGAAGTTATAGTGTGCCTAATACTTTAACTCCGACTCTCTCTTTTCCAGCAAAAAAATCTGGTCGAGGTTTGTATAATGATAATTTTGTGACAGAATACGTTTATTATAACGTTTTTGATGAATTAGTAGAGAGATTAAATTTATTACATGCTTCCGTAAAAGCTGGGAATACCACACATATAAATGAAATTCGTTCAATAGAAGAGGAACTACGTGAAGCTGGTGTTATCTATTAAGATCTTATTTACTGCCGTATTTATTGCAAATGATTTCACTTTCAAAATGCCTATAGATGTGTTCGGACGTGCTCGTGGAAGTAATCTTTCCTCGTCTCCTTCAACCTCTGCATTTAAATCAATGTTGTTGAAACAGCAACAACTTAATTTTACCAAAGATGGGAGTTTAGATTTGGAGAATCATAGAATTTGCAATGTATCATTACCGTCTGAAAAAAACGATGTATGCACCAAATACTACGCGGATGTGATTGTTGAAAATGTTAATAAAAAATCTGATAACCTCATTGATGCATTGAAAGTGTTAAACAAGAACATTGCGGATGCAGATAGATTGTGGGATAATAAGTTTAATTCTGTAAAATCTAATGTAGAAAACCAAATGGCTTTAAAGCAGAAGCAAATTGATAAACTTGCAAATACACTAAGTACTGTGAGTAATTTTAATTTTGATGTAGAGATTCTCAACAAAAAAGTGCAGCTGTTGATAGCGAATCTGGATAACGAAATAAATAACTTGAAAACAACTTTAATGGGGAATTTAGCTGATCTAACCGCAAAAATGAATATGCACCTGAACAGTGAAATAAATAAACGAATCAAGAATACCGATGGCAAATGGAAAGAGTTTTTAAGTTCAAACGGTAAGGATGTTGATTTATTAAGAGAGCGAATTGCAAAACTGGAACAGTTGCATCCTGACCGCAAAAGATTGAAATCTAACGAAGAAACTTCTACATTAAAATAACATGAAGAAAACCGCTGATACAATTAAAAAAAAACGAGGGCGGCCACCTCAACGTCAAAATGTTTTAATTACGGACACGAAGATGGAAGTCGTCAATGAAATTTTTAAACCAGCACGAAAAACTTTTCCGAGAAGACATACAATAATCAAAGACTTAGATGATTTGTGGCAGATCGATTTGGCAGATTTGCGTTCCTACTCTCATGAAAATAATGGATACAAATACATTTTAGTTGTTATTGATTGTTTCTCGAAATTTTTATGGACTAAACCGCTAAAAACAAAAGGAGCAGAAGAAGTTGTACAAGCTATGGAGTTCATATTAAAAAAAAGTGGACGACATCCGAGAAATTTACAAAGCGACCAAGGAAAGGAATTTTATAATAATCGTTTCAACAAATTAATGCAAAAATACAGAATTAATCATTATAGTACATACAGCGTGAAAAAGGCAGCTATTGCAGAAAGAGTCATTCGAACTATTAAATCAAAACTTTTTCCATTGTTAACTTTGAACGCTTCGTATAGATGGTTAAATCATTTACAACGTGTCACATCTGATTACAACTCCTCTGTTCATCGGACGATCGGAAAGAAACCGATTAAAATTAATAGATCTAACAAAGCAGATATAACAGTATTTCGAAGACTAAAAATTGCAGACAAAAACAAAAAATTTCAACCAGGTGAGTTTGTAAGAATTAGTAAAGAAAAATTATTGTTTGAAAAAGGTTACACACCCAGTTGGTCTACGGAAATATTTAAAGTTGTAAAAATTAACCAGACTAATCCTGTTACATACTTACTAGAAGATACTGAGGGACAACCTATAAAAGGATCTTTTTATAATTATGAACTTCAAAAAACTAAATATCCAGACGTATATTTAATTGAAAAAGTGATACGTCGCAAAGGACGAAAAATGTTTGTCAAGTGGTTGGGTCTTCCGGTTGACAAAAATTCGTGGATAAATTTAACCGACGTCATGTGATGAATGATGATGAAGAGTACCTATACCGTGATTATCACAAATGTTGAAGATACTCATGGCAAGTTATTATGTCATGTTTGGAACATTAACTATAACACCTTAAACAATACTGCTAGTAATATTATTATTGTGTGTTTACTTCGTTTTCGAAAACATCTTGTGAATGTATCATATCTAATATATTTATATATAGTTTTATAGTTGTATAAATAATATAATAAGTACTGTAATAAACTTTTGGAATACTAACTAGATGTTTGTTGTTTTTCTTTTGTATCAAAAAAAATCCAAAAATATTTTTTATTCAGTCATCAATAGGTAGGTACAACTTAGAATGATGTTCCGTATCTTCCTTAGATGATAAACGCCACGCCTCCTTTACATTTTATATATTTTTATAAATAAAATAAACAAGGGTCCATACCTATAAATATCAATTCATGTGTAAAAATTAGATTTCAAGAGTGCAACTTACTGAAAACTTGACTAACTACCAGTGTAAAAATACCAAACCTTAATTAAATCAAACGGAAAAGAGCTAACCACAGTTGGTGAATAATGAACGTTCACGCAATATGCATGCTTAATTATGTATTAAAATGAAAAAAAAATCAATCACTATAATTTTTTAAAGAATATTGATGGGTCTGAGTAATTCCGAAAAAACATTGCAACAGCTTTGCACCGAAAAAAAAACACCAACAACGCATTTATTATCTTTTGCGGTTTCTTATTTTTCCAAATGCAAAGAAAAACATGTTTGATATCTTATTTGTTGAGGTGAAACAAATCATATATTTGCGATAATAGTTGCTGCCGCGAAACAAATGATTCATTTATATTATTTTTTTGTGGTTTTTTGTTTGTTTTTTATAAAATAAAGTTATATAAGCAATCGTGAAAACCTCTGTTGCACAGTCTTGTACACGCGCGAAGATTATTCGTTACAGAATACTCAAAAAAAGAAGTGCATACCTGCGATTGTGATTGATCCGTTAAAATACAAATGTTCAATTACCGTAAATTCAATCCTGAAGAACAAGTAAGTTTTACATTAAACTTGAATTTATTCAATTTGCTTTTTTTTTTCTTATTTTCTTTTTAGAAAAATTTTTCTTCATCTTAATGAATTAGAAATCAAGACAGAATAAAAAGATGACGAGCAGCGAGTAAGTTTCTAAATTATTCGTTACGATATACTCAAAATAGAAGTGCGTACCTGCGATTGTGATTGATCCGTTAAAATACAAATGTTGTATCACCATAAATTGAATCCTGAAGAACAAGTAAGTTTTATATTAAACTTTAATTTATTTGAATTGATGGATTGATTGGCGCGATGACTGACGAGGATCCGATTTTAAATATTTTTTTTTTTTAGAAATTTTTTGTATTAGACATCAGCATGGAAAAAACGGAGCTAACACACATTTCAAATACGATTGCGTATGGAAAGTTTACCTATATCAAATGACGAAATGGAAATCGAAATTTCTGATGTGCAGCAAAATACAAAAGTAGAATCAATTTTAAATTCAATCCTGAAGAACAAGTAAGTTTTAATTATTTTTAAATTTATTAAATTTTATATCTTTTCCATTTTTATAGAAAAACTTTGTTACAAAAACACATACTGAAATGGAAATTAGCTACGCATTTACAACTAGAATTCTAAAAACCCACTCCGAAGCGACATCTACCCTCAAATAACCCAACCGAGATTCGAACGGTGGTGGTGCGCAACCAGCAGTGCAGCTGGCGTTCAGCGCGTCACGAGACCACTGACGTCAGCCCTGCTTATATACTACGGTCGATTCTGCATTCTTTAAGTGTGTTTGGTGGCTCAGAACCATCAAAAAACGTTGAAATATAGTTCAAATTCAATAAAAATCGACAAAAATACAGTTTCTAGCTAAAATTTGATGGTTTCGTTGCACTTTCCGAGCCCGTAGGTTATCTGCGTGGCTTAAAAGTACTAGAAAACACTTCAAAAGTGACGTTTCTGAAGAATTTTAACAGTTTTCTTGTATCTACGAACGCCAGAATGCATAAAATTGACCTAAACGTCTCCTTTTCCTATTCTGAGTCGATTCTGCATGCTTTAAGTGTGTTTGGTGGCTCAGAACCATAAAAAAACGTTGAAATATAGTTCAAATTCAATAAAAATCGACAAAAATACAGTTTCTAGCTAAAATTTGATGGTTTCATTGCACTTTCCGAGCCCGTAGGGTATCTGAGTGGCTTAAAAGTACAAGAAAACACTTCAAAAGTGACGTTTCTGAAGAATTTTAACAGTTTTCTTGTATCTACGAACGCCAGAATGCATAAAATTGAGCTAAACGTCTCCTTTTCCTATTCTGAGTCGATTCTGCATGCTTTAAGTGTGTTTGGTGGCTCAGAACCATCAAAAAACGTTGAAATATAGTTCAAATTCAATAAAAATCGACAAAAATACAGTTTCTAGCTAAAATTTGATGGTTTCGTTGCACTTTCCGAGCCCGTAGGTTATCTGAGTGGCTTAAAAGTACAAGAAAACACTTCAAAAGTGACGTTTCTGTAGAATTTTAACAGTTTTCTTGTATCTACGAACGCCAGAATGCATAAAATTGACCTAAACGTCTCCTTTTCCTATTCTGAGTCGATTCTGCATGCTTTAAGTGTGTTTGGTGGCTCAGAACCATCAAAAAACGTTGAAATATAGTTCAAATTCAATAAAAATCGACAAAAATACAGTTTCTAGCTAAAATTTGATGGTTTCGTTGCACTTTCCGAGCCCGTAGGGTATCTGAGTGGCTTAAAAGGACAAGAAAACACTTCAAAAGTGACATTTGTGAAGAATTTTAACAGTTTTCTTGTATCTACGAACGCCAGAATGCATAAAATTGACCTAAACGTCTCCTTTTCCTATTCTGAGTCGATTCTGCATGCTTTAAGTGTGTTTGGTGGCTCAGAACCATCAAAAAACGTTGAAATATAGTTCAAATTCAATAAAAATCGACAAAAATACAGTTTCTAGCTAAAATTTGATGGTTTCGTTGCACTTTCCGAGCCCGTTGGGTATCTGAGTGGCTTAAAAGTACAAGAAAACACTTCAAAAGTGACGTTTCTGAAGAATTTTAACAGTTTTCTTGTATCTACGAACGCCAGAATGCATAAAATTGACCTAAACGTCTCCTTTTCCTATTCTGAGTCGATTCTGCATGCTTTAAGTGTGTTTGGTGGCTCAGAACCATCAAAAAACTTTGAAATATAGTTCAAATTCAATAAAAATCGACAAAAATACAGTTTCTAGCTAAAATTTGATGGTTTCGTTGCACTTTCCGAGCCCGTAGGGTATCTGAGTGGCTTAAAAGTAAAAGAAAACACTTCAAAAGTGACGTTTCTGAAGAATTTTAACAGTTTTCTTGTATCTACGAACGCCAGAATGCATAAAATTGACCTAAACGTCTCCTTTTCCTATTCTGAGTCGATTCTGCATTCTTTAAGTGTGTTTGGTGGCTCAGAACCATCAAAAAACGTTGAAATATAGTTCAAATTCAATAAAAATCGACAAAAATACAGTTTCTAGCTAAAATTTGATGGTTTCGTTGCACTTTCCGAGCCCGTAGGGTATCTGAGTGGCTTAAAAGTACAAGAAAACACTTCAAAAGTGACGTTTCTGAAGAATTTTAACAGTTTTCTTGTATCTACGAACGCCAGAATGCATAAAATTGACCTAAACGTCTCCTTTTCCTATTCTGAGTCGATTCTGCATGCTTTAAGTGTGTTTGGTGGCTCAGAACCATCAAAAAACGTTGAAATATAGTTCAAATTCAATAAAAATCGAGAAAAATACAGTTTCTAGCTAAAATTTGATGGTTTCGTTGCACTTTCCGAGCCCGTAGGGTATCTGAGTGGCTTAAAAGTACAAGAAAACACTTCAAAAGTGACGTTTCTGAAGAATTTTAACAGTTTTCTTGTATCTACGAACGCCAGAATGCATAAAATTGACCTAAACGTCTCCTTTTCCTATTCTGAGTCGATTCTGCATGCTTTAAGTGTGTTTGGTGGCTCAGAACCATCAAAAAACGTTGAAATATAGTTCAAATTCAATAAAAATCGACAAAAATACAGTTTCTAGCTAAAATTTGATGGTTTCGTTGCACTTTCCGAGCCCGTAGGGTATCTGCGTGGCTTAAAAGTACAAGAAAACACTTCAAAAGTGACGTTTCTGAAGAATTTTAACAGTTTTCTTGTATCTACGAACGCCAGAATGCATAAAATTGACCTAAGCGTCTCCTTTTCCTATTCTGAGTCGATTCTGCATGCTTTAAGTGTGTTTGGTAGCTCAGAACCATCAAAAAACGTTGAAATATAGTTCAAATTCAATAAAAATCGACAAAAATACAGTTTCTAGCTAAAATTTGATGGTTTCGTTGCACTTTCCGAGCCCGTAGGGTATCTGAGTGGCTTAAAAGTACAAGAAAACACTTCAAAAGTGACGTTTCTGAAGAATTTTAACAGTTTTCTTGTATCTACGAACGCCAGAATGCATAAAATTGACCTAAACGTCTCCTTTTCCTATTCTGAGTCGATTCTGCATGCTTTAAGTGTGTTTGGTGGCTCAGAACCATCAAAAAACGTTGAAATATAGGTCAAATTCAATAAAGATCGACAAAAATACAGTTTCTAGCTAAAATTTGATGGTTTCGTTGCACTTTCCGAGCCCGTTGGGTATCTGAGTGGCTTAAAAATACAAGAAAACACTTCAAAAGTGACGTTTCTGAAGAATTTTAACAGTTTTCTTGTATCTACGAACGCCAGAATGCATAAAATTGACCTAAACGTCTCCTTTTCCTATTCTGAGTCGATTCTGCATGCTTTAAGTGTGTTTGGTGGCTCAGAACCATCAAAAAACGTTGAAATATAGTTCAAATTCAATAAAAATCGACAAAAATACAGCTTCTAGCTAAAATTTGATGGTTTCGTTGCACTTTCTGAGCCCGTAGGGTATCTGAGTGGCTTAAAAGTACAATAAAACACTTCAAAAGTGACGTTTCTGAAGAATTTTAACAGTTTTCTTGTATCTACGAACGCCAGAATGCATAAAATTGACCTAAACGTCTCCTTTTCCTATTCTGAGTCGATTCTGCATGCTTTAAGTGTGTTTGGTGGCTCAGAACCATCAAAAAACGTTGAAATATAATTCAAATTCAATAAAAATCGACAAAAATACAGTTTCTAGCTAAAATTTGATGGTTTCGTTGCACTTTCCGAGCCCGTAGGGTATCTGAGTGGTTTAAAAAGTACAAGAAAACACTTCAAAAGTGACGTTTTTGAAGAATTTTAACAGTTTTCTTGTATCTACGAACGCCAGAATGCATAAAATTGACCTAAACGTCTCCTTTTCCTATTCTGATTCGATTCTGCATGCTTTAAGTGTGTTTGGTGGCTCAGAACCATCAAAAAACGTTGAAATATAGTTCAAATTCAATAAAAATCGACAAAAATACAGTTTCTAGCTAAAATTTGATGGTTTCGTTGCACTTTCCGAGCCCGTAGGGTATCTGAGTGGCTTAAAAGTACAAGAAAACACTTCAAAAGTGACGTTTCTGAAGAATTTTAACAGTTTTCTTGTATCTACGAACGCCAGAATGCATAAAATTGACCTAAACGTCTACTTTTCCTATTCTGAGTCGATTCTGCATGCTTTAAGTGTGTTTGGTGGCTCAGAACCATCAAAAAACGTAGTGGCTTAAAAGTACAAGAAAACACTTCAAAAGTGACGTTTCTGAAGAATTTTAACAGTTTTCTTGTATCTACGAACGCCAGAATGCATAAATTTGACCTAAACGTCTCCTTTTCCTATTCTGAGTCGATTCTGCATGCTTTAAGTGTGTTTGGTAGCTCAGAACTATCAAAAAACGTTGAAATATAGTTCAAATTCAATAAAAATCGACAAAAATACAGTTTCTAGCTAAAATTTGATGGTTTCGTTGCACTTTCCGAGCCCGTAGGGTATCTGAGTGGCTTAAAAGTACAAGAAAACACTTCAAAAGTGACGTTTCTGAAGAATTTTAACAGTTTTCTTGTATCTACGAACGCCAGAATGCATAAAATTGACCTAAACGTCTCCTTTTCCTATTCTGAGTCGATTCTGCATGCTTTAAGTGTGTTTGGTGGCTCAGAACCATCAAAAAACGTTGAAATATAGGTCAAATTCAATAAAGATCGACAAAAATACAGTTTCTAGCTAAAATTTGATGGTTTCGTTGCACTTTCCGAGCCCGTTGGGTATCTGAGTGGCTTAAAAATACAAGAAAACATTTCAAAAGTGACGTTTCTGAAGAATTTTAACAGTTTTCTTGTATCTACGAACGCCAGAATGCATAAAATTGACCTAAACGTCTCCTTTTCCTATTCTGAGTCGATTCTGCATGCTTTAAGTGTGTTTGGTGGCTCAGAACCATCAAAAAACGTTGAAATATAGGTCAAATTCAATAAAGATCGACAAAAATACAGTTTCTAGCTAAAATTTGATGGTTTCGTTGCACTTTCCGAGCCCGTTGGGTATCTGAGTGGCTTAAAAATACAAGAAAACACTTCAAAAGTGACGTTTCTGAAGAATTTTAACAGTTTTCTTGTATCTACGAACGCCAGAATGCATAAAA